TGAATAATTTAATATTACATATTGCATTGTCTACTAATTATATTCTACATTTATTCCTTTACATCTATGGATTTATCCCACGTATATTTATCAAGAAAATTACGAAAATATGAAGAGACTTTACAAAAGTATAATATTTAAATCTTCCCAAAGATTAAATTTTAAAATATATATTATAAAGGATTATGTATGAAACGAGAAAAAAAAAATACTTTCACATTATCATGTTTAATTCATTGTCCGAACGAATGGCCCTTCTGGGACGAACGTGCATTAATAAATTATAATTCCTATCTAGTCCTTCGCATCCCTTTCTGGACAAAAAAAAAATTGCATTCGCGGACAGATTGCGAGAGGGTGGAGTGAAACGCAACCCGCACGTTTAATAATATGCATTTATGTGGGTGGCGTACAACAAAATAGAAATAATAAATAAAACGCGGACTGAAGCGTTACACGGTTTTCGAGTTAGCGCAATTAATTTTTACACGCCGCACTCGGAACATCGAAAAGTGCATTGTTAAAAGCAATATGTGAAATATGTATGTATATATGAGAATAAAAACAGTGCAATATTGAAACGTTACGCGATTGCAACATTAACCCAAGCGCACTCAAATTATTTTAAAATGATTCCCCCCCCCCAATCAATGCTTCAACAATTTTTCAAATATTTGTTTTTAAATAAATAAATTGTAAATTGAAGCAATTCAGCAAAAACCTGTAAGTAATTAAGGAATCAAACAACTTTTTTTTAAATACAGAAACTAAAATCTAATCCGTTCCATAAATTGTTTGGAAACGCTGATCCGTGTGAATATTTTACAGGTACACGGTTTCGTAGTTACCTGCACACTTAGCGAATTCCCAGATGGACAATGGTTCGCAGGATCGTTCGATCTTGTCCAGGGGGAAATTTGCCGTCAACGGACATTGAATTATAAAAATCCCCATGCGCGAAATTCCGAATATAATTATAACCATCCCCCAATTTGCTCAACAACACAGGAAGAAGTATAAATTTTATCCAAAAAAAGTATCACTCGGTATCACTCGATTCAATTGGTGACATGCGGCCTCCTTTGAGGATTGCGCAAGCTGTTTACGTGCATTCATCAATTTTTGAATGGATTCACGGGCGGTACACAGCATTAATTACCATCCGAGATAATTAGAGATGCACACGTACCTTCTCCTCCTATCCTACTGACCTCACCAGTTGAACTCGATATCCACTAAATAATTCGCGCAAGCTGATTAATCATGTTTGAGGCAAACTTTATGACGGGAGCGTATCGGCAATTGTGTTAATTACGTATTAACTCCAACACGCCAGACGGGAATTCCTGTCGTCATTTACACATCGCCGACAAAATTTCATTCGAATCAAGCCTAGAATTTTTTTTTTCATAATTAGATCTAACCACAATTAGATTAGAAAACGCATCTAATTGCGATCTAAACGTAATTAAAATCAAGCTATTCCGTCCGCAATTTTTGATTAGATCAAACTACAACTGTCCAAAATATTATGTAAAAAAAATGAACATCAAAATAATAATGAAAAGAACGTAATTTGACTTTTACACATTGTTGACAAAATTTCATTCGAATCAAGTCTAGAATTTTTTTCATAATTAGATAAAACCACAATTAGATTAGAAAACGCATCTAATTGCGATCTAAACGTAATTAAAATCAAGCTATTCCGTCCGCAATTTTTGATTAGATCAAACTACAACTGTCCAAAATATTAAATAAAAAAAAATGAACATCAAAATAAGAATGAAAAGAACGTAATTTGACTTTTACACATCGTTGACAAAATTTCATTCGAATCAAGCCTAATTTTTTTTTCATAATTAGATCAAACCACAATTAGATTAGAAAACGCATCTAATTGCGATCTAAACGTAATTAAAATCAAGCTATTCCGTCCGCATGTTTTGATTAGATCAAACTACAATTAGCCAAAATATTATATAAAAAAAAATGAACATCAAAATAAGAATGAAAAGAACGTAATTTGACTTTTACATATTGTCGACAAAATTTCATTAGAATCAAGCCTAGATTTTTTTTTTCATAATTAGATCAAACCACAATTAGATTAGAAAACGCATCTAATTACAATCGTCATTACCTAAATGTAATTAAAATCAAGCTATTCCGTCCGCATGTTTTGATTAGATCAAACTACAACTGTCCAAAATATTATATAAAAAAAATGAACATCAAAATAATAATGAAAAGAACGTAATTTGACTTTTACAAATCGCCGACAAAATTTCATTCGAATCAAGCCTAGAATTTTTTTTCATAATTAAATCAAACCACAATTAGATTAGAAAACGCATCTAATTGCGATCATCACTACCTAAACGTAATTAAAATCAAGCTATTCCGTCCGCATGTTTCGATTAGATCAAACTACAACTGTCCAAAATATTATATAAAAAAAATGAACATCAAAATAATAATGAAAAGAACGTAATTTGACTTTTACACATTGTCGACAAAATTTCATTCAAATCAAGCCTAGATTTTTTTTCATAATTAGATCAAACCACAATTAGATTAGAAAACACATCTAATTGCGATCGTCACTACCTAAACGTAATTAAAATCAAGCTATTCCATCCGCAATTTTCGATTAGATCAAACTACAACTGTCCAAAATTATATATAAAAAAAAATGAACATCAAAATAACAATAAAAGTAACGTAATTTGACTTTTCATAAACAATAAATTATTGATTAATAATCAATGAAAAATATACTTTTTTTTATTAATTACTAAATTCAAACATGCGTACTTACAATTAATCAACACTATTTTGTTGTTGTTCGAAAATTTCAGCCAATTTCGCGAACACTTCGTAGATAAAATTTTAAAACTGACGTTGTTTTTATTTATAAATAACGTAACTATGGCAACAATTGAAACAAAGCAAACTCTGATGATAAAGGGGGAAAATTGTTTATTTATGAAACGCACATCAATTCTAACATGAATAATATATCTACAACTATATATAAAAATACCATGTGTAAGGGCCATAAGGGATTTATTGATACAATAAACTAATCATCTAAATTGTATGTGTGTGTTGAATGTGTACAGTAGTATTTCTTTATTTATTCGAAGCTCTCTTTCATCTGGGCAGTTTCTTCTTCTCGTGCTGCTTGGCCGCCTTCTTCTTCATGATCTGTATGCGTTTATCGGCGCTGATGATATTCGAATTGGACGTGGAGGAGGAGTGTCTGGATGAGCTCGACGACGATGACGAAGACGTTTTGCTGGACGATTTACTCGAAGAGCTCTTCGAAGACGAGCTCGATTTCGAACTGCTTTTATAGCTGGACGAGCTGTGTCTCGGAGTGTTGGCTGGAGAGCTCTTGGATTTAGACGAAGAATGACTCGATGAAGAGCTGGTTGGACTTTTCTTCACTTTCTTAGCTTCCTTGCAGTTGTTGCAAATCCATGAGCCTTCCGCTTCTTGCTGTGTGACTGCAGGTTGATGGCACTCCTGATGGTACAGGTAATGGCAATCGGAGCACTCGAGCAATCTGTTCCTTGCACCGACATCCATTCCTTGACACACGACACAGTTCAGATCTTCTTTCAGCAAATCCAATTCGAGTTCATTGTCTGAACTCGATGTCGTTTTGCTCTCCTCCATGATGTTCTTGTAGTCCTCGAGGCCTCCTTGCTTGAAAAGTGTTTGGATCATCGGAGTGAAATTCTTTTCAATGCCAGTCTTCGATTTGATTGCCTCCTCGAGCATAGTCTGCAGCAGTGGTTTGCCACCCTGCAAATGGTCACGGGAATGCAAGGCCGTTATGGCCTTTATGTAATAAGGGTCTATATCAGCAACTGTAGTCATCTCGGCGGCAGTTTAAAAACAACTGCTAGCTCTGCTCCTCCGCAGCCAGACAAATAATCTTAGTAGGTTATGTATACTTGTCAAAACATTGATCTGAAATCACTTACGTAAGATTGGTTACATACATAAAAAAAAAACTAAATATATTAGTAAAACAACATTAATTTCAATAAAATATCACAAAACAAAATACTTATGTAATTTACTAAATAAATCATCAACTAATTTAATTTTAAAGTATTTGAAGATATTGCAGCATGAAGTAAGTTTGGTTGCATAAACAATGCATGAACTTAAGACAAACTTTTTCAAAAGTATTTAAATTTGTTAATTTCAACAAAATAATTACATTATTAAACCTAAGCTATAATAAATTATTACATTAATAGCATTTTTTTTATGAAAATTTTATTAACTTTCCAGTCAATTTTATTAAAGTTTTCGTTAATATTTTAAAAGTTGTACTTGGGTTAATTGTTTATTAATTCAAAGTAATTTATGTAGTTGTTTTACTCAAAGTAATAAATATGTTTTGGGATATCTATAATCGTATATTTGTAACTAATTAATAAGTTAATTTATATTAAGTTTTAAAAGAAATTCTCATGAATGATTATAGAATTAATACAGATATGATCCATTAATTACTGTCGTCCTCAATCCACTGTTAATTCGGTGCGAAAAGGACGAGTCAGGACGTTTTTCAGGATTATAAAATTTATATATAAAAATAAAATCGGATTAATGATGCGTGCGTGAGCGAACACGCGCTTATTAAAAGGGTTTAATTAACTCTCTTCTCTTCGGAAAATGAAATGGCGAATAAACATTTACATTTGGGCCGGAAAGGGAATCGCAGCATACGGTGTGTGTGTATGTATAAGTACTATATGTATATGCGGATGGCATGTGTAAACGAAGACTATGTACATACACTTGTTCCGGATAAGTTAATTTTATCTGGAACAATGTAATTAGACGGCACGGCCGGACGAAGATAAGCCTACAACCCCAACCTTCTCCGAACCCTTATCTTCGGCGCCCACACGCACCCCATATAATTATGTAATCGAGATGTGCGAGTGTAATCGAGAAAACACCCCAAAATTCTTCGCAAACGAAACACAATTAATAGTGGATAGTTTGTCCAAAATCTCAATAAACTTTAGAAATAACAGTTGTCAGCTTTTATTTGTAAATAAGCCGTAGTTTTATGTTCCATTCTTACAGAAGCAGTCGCAAATCGAATCGACGTAAAATGAAGTCATATTTATAGTGAGGTAACTATAGGGCTAGACCAGTGATTCCCAAAGTGGTCTATATCGACCCACAGGGGTCTATGACAACATTCAAGCGAAAAAAAATATTTACATTTATTATACTATCTTATAATATAAAGACATAAACATTATTTATAAAAGTACCTATGAAGTAAAAAATTTATTATATATGTCTATAAAATTGTTCAACTAATTTCCAATAATTGTGGCAGATTATGAATGATTAAAAGTCAAAGAATTGATATTTATATATTGTTTAAGAATGCAGTGAAGACGTTTTACGATTATTATTGAAAATCGTTGCTTCGAAAAATATAATTGAGATCAAGCGGTGTTGGATTATTCATGTCTTCGGAGAAATCACGTTAGGAAAATTGATACGTTTTTCCTGTTTCGCAGCAGGAAAATTCCCCGAGAATAATTGGATTTCGATGTAGCTGCTTATTGGTTTGTTTGACCTATCTCGCAAAAGAGAGTGGAAAATGTTGAGATTGTTAGCATGCAAAACAAAGGGGAAGCTTTCAGTGTAGTCGTCAAATGCTTAGCGGCTCATTAGACCGTTTCCCAACCCGTGCTCTTTTAATCCCTAAACCCCAAGCAATTACCCCTAGACGACGCTAATTAACTTCCATATGATTTCTGCACGGCAAGTAAGTGCTGTCTGCATGCACACGAGGAGCGTGATTTCTCCGAAATCAATCGATGAAGAATACGCTCGTGTGTAGAAGAAGTCGCAATTGACGATGATCGGATTTCTCGTTGACTTTATACCGCCGGGTTAATTAGAGGCAGTTTCCATGCGGAATTTACGAGCGCCTAAGGTTGAAAGATGGATCGGCTTATTTGTATCTAATTAAATGGACGAATGAATTGGTGGAAGGAGGAAGCGATGCGTCCTTCGCGAGTGGTAAAAGCATCGATTGTCGATTGCCTTATGTTTTCGGTCGGCCATTAAAGGGAGATTTACGTGGCGGGGAATCACGTGGCACGGAGTATGGGGGGCGCTTGCCACCCCCGCCCGGCGCCTCCGCACGTCACGGATCGAAACACAGGTCAGGTGATATAATTTACATGCAAATAAGATTAGCAGATACCTAGACACAAATTCCGACCGTAATGGCTCCACGTGAATACTGAAAGGACACGAGAGAGAGGAGGACTCTAGGAATCTATCCAATCTCACAAAAAAATGATTTGTAAAACTCTACAAGTAACTACACCTCATTTTCTAAATTCATTATTTCAACATCTTTCTCTTTAGAAGTTAATTGCAAATCTACTATAGTACAATAACAAAATAGTTTGCATAAAGTTTAAGAAACATAAAATACAAAAAGCTAAGATTGTGATAAAGTTTGGAAACAACAGTAATTAATACAAGATATTAATAAGTAATTAGTTGTTTTGGGACAACAAAAAGAATGGAGATGGTATGAAAGAGTATTGTTGTGGTGGGTTGGTTTGGAAAAGACGAATGGCTCCACGTGAATACTGAAAGGACACGAGATGGAGGAGGACTCTAGGAATCTATCCTCACAAAAAAAATATTTGTAAAACTCTACAAGTAACTACACCTCATTTTCTATATTCATTATCTCAACATTTTCCTGTTTAGAAGTTAATTGCAAATCTACTATAGTACAATAAAAAAATAGATTGCATAAAGTTTAAAAAACATAAAATACAAAAAGCTAAGATTGTTTGGAAAAGACGAATGGCTCCACGTGAATACTGAAAGGACACGAGAGAGAGAGGATAGAGATGGAGGAGGACTCTAGGAATCTATCCTCACCACAAAAAAAATATTTGTAAAACTCTACAAGTAACTACACCTCATTTTCTAAATTCATTATCTCAACATCTTTCTCTTGAGAAGTTAATTGCAAATCTACTATAG